TCATAACCTTTGCAACAAATACTCCCTCTTCCAGCACCCAGTTCCTGTTAAAGTTAGTCAAGAGAAGTGCTGAATATCTCCGAAAAAAAGAACCTTATCTCCTTTATAGTAAGGTCACCAAATGGATCTCTCCACAGGCGGGCAAGTTAACACAAACCTTCTGCACTTCCTGTGCTGCATTCTCCTCAGTGTGGCATCTCAGACTTTCAATACCTCCAACGCCGCCTCATCGCTCTGCTCCAAGGCCCAAACACTCCAACAAAGATATTTTCCCTCTATTGTCTAGTCTGATTTTTCAAATGCCACTTCAGATTCCTGTTTCACCAAATGCAAATAACATGAATATGCCTGCCTCTTTTTTTTCCCCAAGGAGTATCATTCGTAGGAAAGAGTTTTCACAGTAACCCCAATTCAATCTTTTTTCCCCCAAGACCACACAAACGTTGATCTCCAGTCTCATCTGCTCAATTGTCACATCCTCCCATCCTACTGTTGCTCTAATTGCACACTGCTGAGTGAGCCCCTTCGTTTGTTTCAGTATTCCTCGATAATGGCAGGATCAGAACCGAAGGCAAAAATCCTCTCCTCTGCAAAGCAGCATTACAGGCTTTCATTTCTGCTTTTGATTCTTCTGTATAACTGAGGCAAGGAATGCACAGGCTTATTTCTGACACAGTGATGTTGCACTACAATCTCTTATTCAGTTTGTTCTCACCCCAGTGGATTTTTGTTCAGCATTTTTAACTCTAAACTTTCCAAGCTGTTAGGTACTTCCTCCTATTAGGTACTGTTCCAGCTGCCAGTCGTACTTCGGATATATACCTTTATCACCTTGCTAAGGATAACAGGATGTTCTTACCCTTCCCAAACACTGAGCAGTCTTGATCCTCTCCTAATGCCAGTTCTCTGTCTCTTTGATTTCACCTCAGCTTAAAAATACACCAGGAAAAGACTCTGTCTCCTTAAATTCACTAACAAAAGTTACACAGAAAAGGCCTGGGTACCGATGGCTGCAGAGCACCAGAAGCACTCCTCATCTGCAAGTGAAATTGGCAATGGTGGCTCTACAGAGGGGAGATGTTAATTTCTTAGTGCTTGGTGGGTTTGGGGTGTTTAGAGGGATTAAGGGGTTTATCCATGACAAGATGAACTACTGCGTACCACAGGCACTGCACTATTCTTACCCAGCAAAACAGAAATGGTAACACAGAACACTACCAGATTTCTTTGCTATGATCTGCTCTTCAGCAGCCCCAGTATATCAGTCAGTAAATGCACTTTCCCCCTGCTCCAAGTGAAAAGGGATACAATCCCATAATTTAATACCCCATATGCAGTCTCAAAAGAGAAGGAGCCTCATCAAATTATGGCTTGTCTGACCTAGAAGCCCTCCCAAGCAGTACTGCAGCCCAACTGCTCTGTTACTGCTGCTGGAACAGGGCATGGCAGCATTGGTGTCATTGCCTCAACTGATCCTGTTCCCAGTCTTGCAGCCTAGTTTAAAGTCTCCCCTAATGCCCTAAGACATAAGTTGTGCAGCTTTCTGCTGTTGTGCCTCAGTAGCTGTTCCCTCAATATTTAATCTTGTAAGCTGTTAATGCACAGATCTGTGCTAAGCAGCAGGGTTCATCTTCTTCTGTACTCAAAATCTGCTTCCTTCTTGTTTGACTGTGGCAAAAGCCACTCTTACTCCACAGACCTCAAGTCAAAAATCATTCCATTTTAACCCAATGAGAGTCCAGGTGGTTTTCTTCCTACAGCAAGCCCTTCCTGCCTTTTAAAGTACAATAGCAAATGTGGGCCAGGCGGTACCTTTGCATTTTTTGCATTTTTACTTATTCACTGCAGCTTTAGTTTTTTCACTAAGCAAAATAAATAAAAGCCCGGAGGCAGCCAAGCTTCATCTCCGGAGATGGAGGCAGCTGCCCCAGCCACCTCTGTGCCAGCGCTGTGCCGCTCAGCCAGCTGCGGCGCAGGGCACGCAGCCACTGCCTGGGACACAGGAGAAGGCAAGGCAGAAGAGCTGCCAAACCAGCATCTCCCTGAGGCCCAGCTGCCTGCCCAGCTCACCCTGCTCTCATGGGAAGGAGCTGCCACTATCTTTCAGCTGTGAATGGCTGCCCCTTCCCTCCACTCTCCAAGAGATGAGCCACTTTCTCTCAACCAGGGCAAGATTTCTGTTCGTGACTCAGATGTTCAAAGGAGACAATCAGCCAGTCACTGGCCACCCTAGAAGAAATATATAGTGCTCCATATGATGGGATGCATAAAGCATACCCAGCTTCTTGAGACTAGACTAGACAAGCACAAATCTAAAGCGTCTAGCACTTTAAGACACAAATCACTCAGCTGCTGGGTCACACACTCCCTTGGGCTTTCAGCACCAGCTAGGCCAGGGAGCCTTTCTCATAGATATTCTTCAAGACAGAAGTAATTTAAAATCTATAATGCAACTCAACCTACAGGATCTATTTTCTGAGCAGTGTGGGAAAATACTGGTCTGCACAGCCATTTATTAGCTCAAAGAGGAGTGTACATTTAACTCTGCAGAATGGGTAGAACAAAGGATTATTAAATAAAATTCTGATTAGTTCAGCTGAAAGCAAAATACCAGCTGGAGCTTCGGGTAACGCAGGCATGCTATCAGCAAACATGTGCTGCCAGCGCATCTGCACACACATACACCAGCTCTGACCATGGGGAGCCTCAGACTGGAACAGCAGAACCAAGGCTTCTCCATTGTGGTCCGTGCTCTGATAGCTCAGGTCCTGCTCTCCTCTAGGCAAAGCCTTCGGCCCAACAGTGCTGGTTGTAGCTGCAAAATGGGAATGAGAGCTACAAAATCCAAGTTTTCCAATTTGATGCCGTCCTACCAGTAGCTGTGCTTTGTGGGCTTTCCAAGTGGGATCACAGCCACTCAACACAGCTATCACAAAGTCCCTCTGCCTGGAAACACAGGCATGGCACATGGCTCTACCTATAAGGGGATGGTGCCTGCAGCCTAACCGCAGCCATATTCATTAACAGCCCATCATTTAGATCCTATTGCAAAAGTTAATGAAGCCACTTTGCGAGAGGGCAGCTTCCATGAGCTGAAGATAAATAATGTATATAAAAGGGGGCTGGGAGGGAACTGGCGCATCCTTGCAAGGTCATACTAGAATGCATCAGTGGCTGGCTGAGGCTGGGCTCCTCCGGTAAGACGCCTGGAGCTATTTATGACTCATGTAATTAATTAATGCCAACGGGCGTTCTGCTGCAGGCACGTGGGAGACCAAAGGGAAATATGAAGCGAGCAGGTTAGGAAATGTAATGGAGGTGGGGGAGAAGGATGACATTTCTTGCGGCAAGACATGCTTTGAAGTAATTATCAACAGTCTAAACAGCCTTTTGGCTACATCAGTACAAAATCAATTAGGAGCTTTAAAAACGCATTGGCTCATATTTCAGGGAGCGTCGAGAACAAGAAGTAGCCATCTGAGGCAGGGTAGCTGCATTTCTAAGCGCTACATGCTACAAGACCCACAGGTGCTCAGACCCCGCAGTGCAGCCCACAAACGGTGTGACCAGTAGAGGGAGCACCATTAATGCCTTCCCAGTCATAAACGGGTTCGGATGAGAAGCATTAAGAAAGTCCGACAGTTTGATCTTATGCGTCTCTCAAGTCTGAGGACAAGTTTAACAAAAGAAAGAGAAAGAACCGAAGGGCCAAGCTAAATGTGAAAGTAAGCCTTGAAAGCTGAGACCCTGCAGGCACTCTGGGCTCCTGACATACACCCTTCCCTTCTGGACCCAGCTTTCTGACACCGGGAGCTAATCAAAACTTACAGAACACATTAAGAAAGGGACCACATCTGTGGCTGTCCCGCTTCGGTTTGCAATACTGCAGTCTTACACTGAATACTCAACATGTGGCGACGCTGAGTCATGACACTGCTTGCACAGACCGTTTAAGGACAATGAGAGCTTAACCTAATTTTGTCCCTTTGTTTGTCCTCTGCACAGAGGAGATCAATCAGTTCCACTCCCTGCCTTTGTATCCCCATGCATTCAGTGCCTAATACATTATACAGCAAAACTGTAAACACAAATAAAGCACACCTTTTCCCTCCGCTGGTGCCCTAAAGTCCTTCTGGGTTGTCCAACTCCCACTCAGGCTGCATCCTCTCTCATGCCTTTTTGTTGCCAGAATATCTTCTATTGGTTCCCAAATGTATTCATGCATTGTCCTGCCTCCCTCTTAACACAGCTGTCTGCAACAAATCCCCTCGCACAATGAGGATTGCAAATCTGCTTACAACCCAACGTTGCTTTCCATTTTCTACTCCACTGTGCTTCTCTACTCTTTGGACTCTTGCAGGGGCCAAGCACCACAGCATCAGTCTGCCAGTGCCATCTGGATGAGCGGCAGAGGCTGCCTGCAGTCTCAGTCCTGGCTGGCAAAGGCTGGTAGGTTGCAGGATGCTCCCCTTTGAGCCTGACCCACCTCTGATCACTGGCAAAGCTGCTGTGACTCCCTACTGCTATCTGCTGTTTTTCTGGAGCAAACCCATGCAAATCGATAGTGGAGATTTAAAAAAAAAAAACACAACAAAATCCAAACCCACAGAGTAAGTGAAATGGCAGTTGGTTTTAGTTTCATAAATATATATGAGTAGAACAAGAGCAACAAAGTTCTCCTTTCTGGTGGGCTGAGAATTGACATGAGCCTGAGTCTCCAGGGTAAAACACGAGCGAAGTAAACCACAACACGAACACCCACTTAGCATTCGTGTTACATACTCCTGATCTGAGCCTCACCAGCTTTAAGAACACTCCTGTTAAATACTGTAATGCTCCCAATTAGGAGTGATCTGGATGGTTTATTTTCTAAACAGATTTCTCCCCCCAGGGAGATCCCATAAACCTAAGACAAAAGCAGTCTTGAAGAGGTGTTTCAACCTCTTTTGGCTATACAATATCCACAGCTGGCTCGATTTCCTTAATTGTTTCATACTGACCTTGAGGATATTTCGGCCATTAAATGACTCCCGCTCCTTGAAAGATGATTTACCAGTCATTGTATTGTTTCGCTCTTCAGCTGTAAAGAGAAAAGCAACCACCAGAATGAGCCTCAGATGGGAGAACTGTGTGTGCTGTACTTCACACCCCACTCTCTCCCTCCCCAAAGTCAGCTGCCAGCTAATAAACCATCTTTGCCCAGTTCTTAGTGCGAAAAAACACTTCCACTTTGATTTTAAAGAGAACAAGGCTGAATACACAGGAACTGGTACCTTTGTGGAGATCACCCATGTTACCTGGAGGAAAGACCCTAAATCACAGCTACTGCTAGGGTGATTCTGTAGGGCTGATGGTTCAGTACAACACATCTGCTTCTCTCTGGCTGATTTTAATCCCACATCCTGCCAGGGTGAGAGTCAGCACTGTGAGTGCTTGCATCACCTGGAACAGCACCAAATACCAGACTGAGCAGTCAAGCAGAATGCCAGGTGCAACATGGACAGCACCTATACAAACCTCTGCTGCCTGCTTGCTCTGGGAAGCACATACATGTGGTGTGTGTGCTTCTGCAGGGTGGGCACGCAGCCACACAAGACATTAAGAATAGCAACCTAGGCCTATAGCAACTGCCAAATGCCTACGTCTTAGATCCATTTCCCCAGAGCATGTCTGGATTTTTATATAATCCCTAAGTACATCATTTTTTCTTTCCACAGGACCTCTGCCTCAATCAGTGAATATACGCAGTATTTCTTTTTTATCTCCAGCATTAACTATGAAGTTCACTCACATCTAGCATGCTATTCAAATCCTGCATTGAATATAAAGCGACTTCTGTGGCTATCTGTGTAATGTTCTCACCATTGTGCCTGAATGCTTCACGTGCCTCATGGGGTTGTTCAGAATACAGATTCATAATGCCAGATGCAGCTGCCCATGTGCCTCCCCTAACAGAGAGCCACATCAGCACTTTGGGCTCATCATCAGCTTTTAGGGCTCAATATGAGAGCTAAGCCTCATCTCATCTTTCAGGCTTTTTACTACCTGAATATGCTTATCTGACTTCAGTAGCAGTCATCCCCAAAGTCGGCTACTGGGTGCCCAGAAAACCATAACCGGTTTAACAAACCATCTGCTCTTATCACTGTCCATACTTGAGTCAGAAACTAGAGAATACTTGACATAGCCTAGTGACATTGCAGAGGTCACTGCACCAGAGAAAGCTATAAAAAGCTTTAGTGCAATGCTATTAAGGCTTGCAAACTGCACACCACTGCCAGAGCACATGCATGTTTACACATGGAGAACAAGGCTGTAATATACCGCCCCTCCCCAAATGCAATGCATCTGAGGCTGCTGTACAAAGTAATGTGGTAAGAACGATGCTACAGACTGCTAGAGCAGACAATCTTTTGGCAGAGACAGCAGACACTACACACTCAAAAATAGCTCATATTCAGCCTCATAACCACTTGAACCTGATTTAACAAGAAGGACACTGAAATCACATTCCTAAACCAATGGGCAATCTTTAACTTGACCAAAGAGGATCACATTTTTTTCTTGTTTAAAGGTCAGCATAGCACATTGAGTTGTTACTGAATGTCAGTTTAATATCGGGGCAAGAGAGCCCAAAACCTTGCATGGTACTTGAATGCATTCCTCTCTGGCCCAGATCTTATGGGGGCTACTAGGCAACAGGGTTTTCAAAGCTATGACAAAGATCCAGAAAATGCTCAAAGCATGCCTGCCTTCTCCAGCTCTGCAGACTGCTTTTTCATTTTCCTGTGGGTTTTATCTACTGACACCGCCCCACAGCCTTGTACGTATTCTTGAGATTAAGAAAAATCATAAAATTAAAAAAGCGAACATAAAAGCCAACAAAAGCATTTCCTGACCAGCGGGACTACTTTAAATGCATTTATCAGTAAGGATGAGGGATACCCACCACTTGGATCTTTCCTAAAGAGAGTGTTCATGACTGTAGCATGCAGTTTCACCCTATCCCACTCTTTAAGCATCAAGCCGGAGGCCACAAACCGCTTCACCAGTTGATCAGCAATCATCTGCAATCTGGGAACGCAAAAAGAGAAAGAACAGAGCCACGTAAACCAAGGAGAAACCCTTGAGTCATCAGATTTTCACTTTTCAGCCAGGGAGGGCAGCATGTGTGAAATGAAGTCTCCACACACATGGGGAAAGGGAGCTAGTCTCTGATGGAAAGCGAACAGAGCCATCAAGGATTCAGTTCTAACGCAGAAAGTTCTGGCTGCTTTGCAAAGCTTCCTCAGTGATCACTTCTGCTGCACATATTCCAGGAAGAAGGGAAGATTCAGCACAGCAGAGAGCTTGTTCACAGTGACAGATGTTATTTGGACTTGAAAGGTGCATCTTCCCACTGCCAGGAAACACAATATACCTACCCTTACAAATGCTAAAATCTGCAGACCCCTGGGGGCGGCTTAGGCATCTTAACTCCTGGAGGACTGTGACCTGTACAGTGCACTGGGCTGGAGCTTGGACATTCTCTGTCCCAAATAAGCAACCCAGTCACTGGGCTTAATTTCTGGGAGAGTTCAGAACGTGGTGACAGAAGGCACAAACCCAAACAGCACATCGTGGTGAATGCTCCAGCTTTGGAGCTACTGAGCAAGCAGAATCACAGGACTTATTGCCACCTACTTGTCTGTCCCTGGTCAGGGATGAAAGTGCCTGTGGCTGCCAGGATCTGCAGGTAAACCTGTTCTAGGATAGGCACCAGGAACAGGCAGGTTATCAGAGCAATGCATTTGTGTCCTACGTTTAAAAAGCTGAAGGAATTTCCAGGCTGTTGCTGTCCCCAACAAAATTTCTGCAGTGCCTCAGCCTTTCCAAAAGCAGCAAGGATGTGCTAGAACAAGAGCTTCCCATCCCCCAAAACAAGGCAAGAAGGTATTACTCTATGCAGAATTTGGGCTTCTCTCACCACGTCCAAGGGTCCAAGGGATGATATAGCTTCCTTGCTCCACCAGGTCCGACCACTTTGGCATCTCAGCTGCAGTAGGAGAGGCAGAGCGTGGCCTCTCTGACGCTGGCCCCCAGAGCCTGGGGCTGCCACGCTCTGGAAGCCAGGTCCCTCCCCACCACCAGTTTTGTACTGCCCCTCACAGGCTGCCAGCCCCCATGTGACAATTTCAAGACTCAAACTACCAATTGTCATGGTTTTCTACCATTTTCTGGCTTTCCTTCAGTGATTTTTACAATTAGCAATGACAAAGATTAAATGAATATCATTACAGACTATACTAAAACAAATTAACAGAGAATAGCTCAAGTGAAAATGGTGCTTTATTATGTTATAAAGTTAATCAAGGAAATAAAACAAATTAGAATGAATTATAATGGAAATTATTTGCCACGTGGGAGGCATCAGAGCATGATCCCTCTCTCAGTCTAAGCCACTATATGTGCAGAAGGGCTCGCCAATCCCTAATTCTGTCTGCAGTTATGCAAGCTAAGTCAGGGTAAATCAAATCTCCTGCTTTACAGCTTAAGCTGATCAAGATCATCCAAAGATCAGGAAGGAACTCCACCCCTCAGCCATGCCAGGAACTACACAGAGCTAGCAAGATGCCTTGTATGAGACAGGAAGGCACACACCTCTCTTAAATGCAGATCACAGCAGTCTGAGCCAGCACAGCAAGCCAGGTGGCTGCTGTTCTCTTCTGGTATTGGTCTTGCATCTGAGAATCAATGCTTTCTACCTACTTTCCCCATTTCCCTGCGTAAAGCACAGCAGGTTTTAGCAGGCAAGAGGAGCATGGAGCTGCTCATCAATGATACATCTAGAAGGCCAGAAAACAAAGCAGAATTTTCTGGAGGGATCACCATTTGTCCTCTCTTTATAGTCAACGTTTGTCTAACACTGTCTGCTGGAACCCCAAAGGAAGCAAAAGAACCTTACACTGCTCTCCAGCAACAGAAAAATATCTTCTTTTCCCTCTGCAAAGCTAAATGCTTACTGGATGCTCGATAACAGTTAAGGAAATATGTTAGGGGAGAAGTGCCAGATGAATTAATTTGCAGATGATGGTGGTAGGGGCCTGGGCCAAAGATAAAAACTTAAAATCACTTGTCCCTCTCTGAGCACACTGCTCAGAGCAAAAATGGTGTTGCAGAAGAGAAGTCTAGCAGCTTGCAGGTGCCATGCAAAACAGATCTGGATTTGGTCAAAACCTCAGTTAACAGATCTCTGTGAAGGACAGAGGACATATCAGCCCTTTTGTGGTGGTGAGAGGGTAGTTTTCAGTTTCAAGGCAAGATGGATTTAAAGATCTCATTTCTCTCCCCTGCCAAAAGCACCTCTGCCACCCCTAATGCGTATCAGCATTTTCTCTTCGCATTATGGCTAAATGGAGTCTCAGCAAAACAGATACAGCTGGCACCTGAAAAAAAGACGACAGTGCTAGTGCCAACAATTCAAGGTGTCCCCAGACACCAGCAGACATCACTGTCCACTTTAGGCCCTACTTACGCTCTACAGGATTTCTCTACCAGCTCCTCGGGTCATACGTATCATTTTCAGTTGCAAGCAGACTCACAAGCACTGCAGCTCAGACTATCTGGAGCATGGTGACTCATGAGAAAAGAGGCCCATACCTCAGCTCTCAGACCTGACACTTAGGATGCTTTCTATAACACATCCACTGAGGGGCATGTGGGTCATCCAGTGTCTGCCTCTGGCTCATCTTTCTGAGTGCTCCTGCTTTCTCCCTGCACTTCTGTATCTTGGCTGCTCTCGAGCTTGTCCTGGTTCTCCACCCACCCCATTTGTTTTATCTCACCTCTTTCAGGGTAGGACAGACTTCAAAGTGGAAGACCGGAGAAGAGGAAAAGATTTAAATTCCTACTGCCTCCCAGCAATTCTTACATTTTCATTTTCCCACCCATTTCCTTATCCCACTTCCCATCTCTTACTTCAACACAGACTCCAAAGTGCAGTTTTAAGCAGGGCCCCCCCCTTTGTCTCCTTAGCCCTCAGGGAAAGGAGATGCCAGAACATGTCCATTTTTCCCTGAGCCAGTCCCTGCTCACAGCCTCCCTCCTCCAGCTGCACTGCTCTGTGCTCCTCTGCTAGCTCCTGCTGTCTTCAAGCAACAAGAACAAAAGGGCAGCACTGCCAGAAAAAAAGAGAAGGCTAAGGCTCAGAGAGAGAAGAGTAAAGCTCTTTTGGCTACTTCTCTACACTCTTTTTCACCCACCTCACAGCCGGCAGCATAGAATACAACAGCTCATGTTTCCCCAGTCTTCCAGAGAGCAATAGGAGAAAAGATGGCGCTGTCACTGGTGACATACGTGTCAAAAATGAGATTGAAGAAGGTTGTTTAGATACCGCCACATCCCGGGCATGGCTGTTTGTAGGGCTAAAACCATCAGCCAGAGTGGCAAACAGCATAAACACATGACTGACACCAACCAGGCATCAAGATTTTACAGCAGTAGCTCAGAGGACAGATTTTACACCCAGTGCCCATTCCAGGCTGCTTACAGACACAAAAATCAACTCTGTAACCAAGTCATGCTTTTCTGACGACCTTCTGGTGTAACTGGGTTTTAAGGATAATTAAGTGCTGCTGGACACCAGGCTGTCCAGATTAATCTGGACTGCAGGCTGGGAACTAAACAGCAGAGGCCAAGCTGTCCTGCCTTCTAAGTCATCTCGGGAGTATCTCCTTGGCCATCTTATCACCGCATGAGCCATGACACCATTATTCAATCTGACAGACTGCTACAGAAACAAATGACATCTTTCAGCTGTACCACCAGTGACTGATTTAAAGAGCAAACACATCACTGCCTTAACCACTTTAGGAAGCAAGAATGACTTCATCTTCCTGACTACTAACCCAAGAAGGAGGAATGAAAGAAAAGAGCATGGGGAACTCACCTGTCCGACCCATCCTTCATATGGACTTTGGCATAAAGGACGTCTGTCATGGCAGGGTCATCGTTCATGTACTCCACTCCTACCACTTCCACGGTCAGGGGCTTGCCTCCAGCAATTTGGCTAAAATGCAACAAATCCCTGATGTTAAAAACCAAAACATCACACCTGCTTTTGAAATACAATGCACACACCAAGTATTTGGTTTTACTGGGGAAAAGATATAAAATACATTTTTTGCTATAGTTAAACAAATTTGAGGTTAAGTGGGACTTAAATGTTCTACAGACCCCATGCGGCAGTGAACTCCATCAAGGAGTTCTTCTCTTCTCCGTATCTTTCAGGTTGTTTACACTGAAAAAAAAAAACAAACCCAAACCCAAAACACACAAAAAAGACACCCTAATTTCTAAAGCTTGAAAGGCTACAGGTGCTATTGTCTCACCATCTCAAGAAATACTGTAAAAACACTTGAATTCATACATTCAGTGTTTTAGACACACATTAAGTCAACTTGTCAGTGTTCACAGGCCATCTCAATGCAGATATCTCCATTTACATTCGCATTACATCAGCAGTTAAATGGTACAAGTTCTCATTCCAGAGAAGCTCCTGCCTTCCCTGTGAAGACAGCGATTGTGCTAGTGACACAAAGTCTCCAGCTTGTTGATTTTCACTGGAAAATGTACTCAATACAGAATGCAGTTTTAAGTACATTTCAACATCCACTTAGAAATGCTGGAAGTAAATAGAGCTCCAGCTACTCTTGCAGAACGGCAAAACTGAAAATGTGTGCAGGATATAATATGCACTCCCACACCTGCAAACACACTGTGACGTGTATCTTGCTTCCAAACATGCTGCCTCCCTGCCTTTACCACAAGAACATCACAGGGAGGTAGGGCGCTGCAGTGAAAGCTCCCTGTAAGTAAGTGTCACCGTCTCTAATGCTGAGGTCTCAGTACAGGGAGTGTCTGGGCAGGCAGAAGTAATAAAAAGGAGTTAACAATGTGAGCATGACTTTGCTCTAACCTTGCTCATTTCTGTTCAACTTGCCCAAGAGACTGCCTTTGAGATTCTCTGCAAAGCTTCCCTCGTGGAATAAGGAGATTGTGATTTCTCCTTCCAGTATGTGTACTGGGAGGAAAAGAGCACAAGTGTACTATCCTGCACATCACATCCAGAGCACTAAAGGCCACGTATTCTACAAAGTGTCAAAAAGTGCACATTTGTGTTCACATAGTGCTGCCTGCATCTAGAAAAGTAAATAAATGCTAATGAAGGTTTATGTGGGAGGAAGGGAGCCTAAACTAATTTTCAAAGTATATTTATTTGAGTGTGGCAGGGGAAATAACCTAAGGGTTACATTCAAGTGTTGATTCCCCCTCCACTGAAGAGAATGGAGAATAAAGATTTTCTCTGCCTCAGTTCAACCCACTTACGAGGAAGCTGGTGTCTTCCAAGAACTGTGAGCAGAGTCTTCCCCTGGAAACACACTTGCAATTCTCTTCAACAGCTGAACAACTGGAGCCGTCATTTTAAAGGCAGAGGTATGAATTTTGGCCATGCATTAATTCCCACTGATACTAGCTGGCACAGCATGGCTAATTCTTTGTGCACCGAGGCAATAAATAAATAAATAGCAAGGATCTGTGCTCTATGTGCAAAGGTGTTGCAGAAATAAATAAATAAACCAGTCCCTCAGGCCATCTCCAATTTCTAAGCTGAACAGAGATAAGCTAATTACAGTGTCATTCAACCACATTTACAGTTAAAGCCCTAACATGGGCAGCTCAGTGTTAACAGGCTTTGAGGAAGCCCCAGTCCTGGAGCAGCACTGAACGTTTCAGACTGATTACTCACATGGCTTATGCTGGCTACCCTGCACACAGCTCCCTGCATTAAGAAATGCATGTCAAGGGCACCCCAGCATCTGCTCAGAGGCAGGAGGGAAGGAGCATGCCAGAGCCCACTGTGGGTAAGACACAAAGGTAATGGAGCTCGTCCCTCCCTCTGCAGCAGGCAGAGGACAACAGCAAAAATTGCTCAGACAAAAATAACAGGGAAGCATGTGAGAAAAAGAAATGCAAAGAGCAGGTTTTCAGCTGAGGGTTGAGCTGAGCTGCAAGATGCTGTTAAACTCTTTGTGACTGCTTGGTGATTTCTGCTGCTCCAATTTGAAGTATTTTAGCCTTTTTCTAGACTTCTAGAGCTGAGAATAGGCTATTGAGATGCTTTTCTCTTTGCTGTCCCTTGTCAAAGACAACTTGCTGCTTTTCCCCCACTCAAGTACTTGGTGATGACATGCCTTTTTTATCACTTACTCCACAAAGTCCTCTTTGCATTGCTGTAGGAGGTCACATGCTTTCTGGATCTCTTGTTCGTTCAGAAGTACCAGTGTCCCAAGAGTCAGGTGAAGCTTTGCAGGGTTCTGGAACAGGCTGCTGCTGACCCCATGATCCTACAAATCAGTCCATATATAGGTGTCTTATACATGGACATTCCTCTATCAGAGAGATAAATACTACAGACAGCAGGTACCAAGCCACTGGCACCAAACCTTTTACCTGTGCATCACTGGTCGGGTGGCTCAAAGTTAAAATGAGAAACAAAATTTCACAGGCTTTGTGAGGCAAGCGAGCTCAGGCTGGCAGGCAAGCGCAGCCCCCCACCACACACAGGCTCCCTGCCTGCCTTTTCATCAGAGCTGCTGAACGGCAGCCTGGAAGCTCGTTATGACAGGCTCTAACTCAGGGCCCAGGCACAGCAGCACTCGCTTATATGGGACTTCGAGAGAAGACTTCCACAGCTGCCAAAGCAGCAGCTGCCATCAGCAGTGAACTCAACACAAGTCAGCACAGATTTAAAACTTGATTTAAGTTCACTTTTTGTGCAATAAAGCTGGAACCAGCTGTAGTGACAAGCTCTAAATGGTCTCTAAATCCTGTCTAAACACAGGTTGCACCTCACAACATAAGCACAGCTAATACCAGCTCTGATAATTACATTTTTCTTGTTCCCGTGTGCCCTATAGTTTGCTGAGATGAATTAAATTTAAATTCATTTTATAAGATGAGCTACGTGTTGTTGCTGGGGAAGAAACGTTCCCAGGTGGAGCAGTGGTTACATTCAGCTTTCAGAGACATGCTCTTTTGTTCTAGGACATTTATAAAAATACCTCGAGGATGGTTAACACACCCATATTAAAACAATTATTTCCACTTAGTGGCCATTTCCCATCAGTGCATTAAATAAACTCCACTTTTAACTCCAGATGAAGCTAACTTGCCTTTTTTTTTTTTTTCTGTCTGAAAAAAGTCCACTGACTGGACAGCTTTGAAGTTTCTAGTTGTGCTTCAGTTTGAAATAAAACCTTTCAGATGTTTAAAAACTGCAGTATCTCATCCCATCAGAGTTTAATGCCCCACATGTCACTCTGTATTTTTCATGTTTAATGACAACCTCTATATCCTTCTTTACAGCTGTGCTTATGAGCTGGACTAGAGACAAGACAGCCTGAAACAGAGAGGTCTGGGTTTTGCCCCAGCAGTCACAGGCTGGCAAAGCATGGTGGTCCCCAGAAGAGGGAGAGCACATACATACCTTCCACTGCTGCTAATTACTGCTGGCTGAAACCCCAAATCATACCATGCTAGTAGTGGCAGAGGATGTTGCAAACCTCAGCACTATGCAGCAGCATGAAACAAGCAGAGACTATGTCAGGCACATGAGGAGCAGAGGAAAGAGGGACAGCTCCTTCTCGGTTCTCCCCACCTTCCTCTATCTGTGGTAAAAGCCTTGCAGCTTCCTTTAATTCATCCTGCTGTTAACATGCATGACAGGACATGATTCCTCTCTGTCAGCCTTTTTTTCTCCAATGGCATCCTTAGCCAGAGAATATTTGGCCCATCTCAAAACAATAGCTTGGGTAACAGAAACTGGGAGAAAGTTCAATTTATCCTTCCCATGGACAAGCAGACAGTGTCACTCCCCACAGTGTGCAGAGGATGTACAGTAATGAGAGAGCAGTCCGCAGGTCAGAAAGCAAAAGTCCTACCCTCATTTTCTGCCTCAGCATGATTTGTACTGCAAACATCAACATGTCCCAAAAGCAGCATTTTCCCCTGAGCTTTCCAACACCTGAGTGTGGGCTGATAGCTGACAAAGCGATGGCGTGTCATCTCCACATGCCACACTACCATTGCTGGGGAGATTAGCAGGGAAGAGCAGTGCACAGTGAGCAGGCCAAGACCTAGGTAATCTTCATGGTTTACTCCCTAGTATTTCAGACAGCTCCTAAAACCCCTGCTTACAGCCCTACTCTTTCACAGGCCAACAGATCCCACTTCTCCCACACATAAAATAGATGCTATGTTAGATGTAGCTCTCCCTGGAACAGGCAATGTTTCTGCAAGCGTCTGAGCAGCCCTTCATGGCTGGATGCTGCTCAGTGAGATGCAAGAAAGCTTGAACCCACTTACTCAAATCCCAGATGATGATATGCTATCAGCCACCACTGTGTTGCCTTACAGGAAGCTGCCCTGTCCAGTGGTATCAGTCCTCTGCAACCTGGCCATCAGAGCCAGACAACAGTAACACAGAGCCTAGAAATAGGTTTTCATAACTACTGCTAAGGAAAAATCACATCCTCCTCTAGGAAGAACAAGCTCAAGAGATGTGATCCTGTCAATGTTGTGATTTTAGGGCTTTATGGACATCTTCCAAATACTTAAGGAACCCTTTCAAGGTAACCTACAACCATTAAAGCAGGAGCGAGGAGTGAGATTCAGCATCAGAGATGGACAGAAAGATCCACTGGGATCTAAGACATGCTCTCCAAGCGCCTCTAGGGGACAAGTTCCTCTTTCACCAGTTTCCTTCCCCATGCAATGGAAGGTGGGCACTCCTCACAGCACAAGTCACAGTGGCTTGTGACAAGCAGTGGCTTCCAGCCTTAATGAAAGCAGAGCACGAGATTAGGGTAGGGGAGGTGTCACACCAGGGAGTCCCCATATTCTATAGAGGAATCTGAAAGCAACTTATTTGTGGGTACTTGCTGGCAGATACAAACACATAAAACAGACTCTACCATCTCTCTAAACATTTACAGTTCAAACCCAGGTTCTCTAAGGATGTACTGAAAGACAGGAAGAACATCCCCTTTACATACCATCTGTATATGATGACTGTCCATTTTAGCTCATGCCTCCCTCTGACACTGCCTGGTCATGGTCAAAAAAATTACAATTCATTTCCACTCAGTCTTAGAAATTAGTTTTTTTACTTCCTTTTGCTGCTTAGACTTCTACCTTTGCTCTCGTCTTTTCGAAGAAACACAGAAAGCGTTCTATCTGGAGTCTTCACCTTTCTTTGCAAAGCCTGAGCATGTTATTCCTCCAAATCTAAGGCCCTGTAGTAGGGAAACCATAGACCAAAACACACTTGAGCGCTTCTATGAGACAAGGCAAAGAATTGATCTTAGCTCTTCCTTCCTGGCTGTGTCCTCTCTACTGTCTTCACAACTTCCAGTGTTTGTAGACAGCTTTATGTTCTCAGGTCTTTTTCTTAGTAGCAGGATACTGCATTGCCAGCTATATGCCCTCTCCCACCCTGACCCACAAACAAAAGAGCGAGCCAGATAAACAGCATTTCCTCAGAACTGACTGAAGAGCTGCAGGCTGAGAAAACCCTCCCATTTTCCGTCCTTTCCACTCCGAGATATATTATCTCATTAGCAATGTTTGATATTTACAGGTTGCCATGTATTACAGCAATCATATTTTTTCTCCATGCTACATCTGCAGCCTGTTGAGACTGCAAATGCTGTGTTTGCACAGCTCTGAAAGACCCAACTGTGATTTTTCACAGCAATATTACTGCGAAGTCTTTTCCCTTTTCCCTTTTCCACCTGCATACTCAGACATTTCAATTCTCCTCACTCTGACATCTACAAGACTGTAAGAGACTTCCAAGGTCATCCAGTCATCTGGACCTCCCACTGCACCACATCAGTGATGAGCCTGCCCAGGTGAGCCACCTCTCTGTATTTGTATTAAATTAGCCTCAAAAGAGCCTCCTCTCAGTCCTGCTTCATTGCCTGACCTGGCAGCCCTGACCATACAGCAATGTGAGTGACACCTGAAGTTTTCCATATTTCAGCCAAGGTTTATCTTACAAAAGGTCTTAAAGAAATGCATTTAAAAAAAAAAACAACCAAAAACTAGAAAGCATATGCCCACCAACATAACCCTATGATTTAAAATACAAATGAATGGTTGTCATGGTAACTGCTTCAGAGAGAAATAGAGTCCCTCACAAATTCTCAAAGGCCAGAAGAAATCCTCATACACGCACACCTGGTCCTTTCCCTTCCTTACCCTTATTACCAAGCTTCAAACACTGAAGTTTACCTAATTCTGCAATGTTTCACACAAGCAAATTGCAAGAGAAGCACACCACTTCTGTCACTGAAACCTATTCAGATTTCTCCAAGTATCCTGAGAAATCCCATTGCTTTGGACAAATCTATAAGCTCTCTTATTGCTCTGTGAGGCACCATTGTGAATTACTGTTTTTCATTACTGATGTGCTTTCTAGCAGACCCTGCTGTGAGATAAAGTGGTATTAAAGTGGCATTACCGGCTGGTGGAGTGATTGAGAGACATATGGGGCTGCAATATACTCCTTGAACTAACAGGCAGCAACAGATCTACAAACCCTTTTGCTAATAGCAGGAGAAGGAAGGGCAGAAAAATAAAACACCCTATATTCCTAGGCTGTACTTATGCAAAGCCCCAAATACTTGCTGCTGTTTGAATTCTACATTTCAAACTAAAAATGGAAACTCTGGAGTTGATGTAAGCAGTACCAAGAACATTTCAGGCCCTCCTGAGAGGCACAGGGCACCAAGCAGTACTAACACAACCACACAGCTTCCAGGCCAGAGAACCTAGCACCCACGCAGTGCAGAGAGCAGGAACTACAATCCCAGACCTTCTGCCTCCACTCACACAGATGTCTTTTTCTATAGGACAGCTTCAGCTGCCACCATTTGGGAGATTCCCAAAAGCACCTTGATGACTCGGCCGCTGCAAAAGGCACACTTGTCTTAAGTACCACACTCTCTTGGAGATATTGCTGTTACTGGTATTAGGAAGATTCAAGTCTGGGTCCTGGTTCTAAGTACGGTTCAAGCCTGAGGTTACTGAAAGGCAGAAGTAATTGTTAAGTTGAATTGTGTTCCCATGTGCACATGCATGCTGCAGGATCCCAGACCATAAAGCAGAGACTTATAGGACTCTGTGTTGTCCATACACAGAACAAAAACTGCAGAAGAGAGACAGAAGGTCAGGCAAGAGGAGGAAAACTTAACATGACTAGCCTGGTCAGCAGTGGTCTCAGCACTCCTCTGACCAAGTCTCAGTTTCTGAACCTTTGTAGGACCAATAACACGTGAAGGTTTGCGGATTTCCCCAGGCACCTTCTTCTGAATGTAACTGACAACACTGGGGAAAGCACCAAGATAAATTTATGAACATGTTTCAAAGTGGGTGGCAGACCCCCCTGACTAGTCAGGGATGCAACTGATACTACAGAGTGAGAAAGAAACAAATGATGCAACTCAGACAGACCAGGAGGGGTCTGGAGAACAAGTAAGATCATCAGCTGAGGCTGGGCCAATGGAGGTCTGCAGAGATGCAACTAAACAAACAGGCCTGAAAGCTGAGTGCTCTGCAAAGAGTTAGTCCTGTGTGAGGCCAGTGTGTTGCAGGATTAAAGACACAGGATGAGAGCACGAACAACAGCATTAGCTGCAAAGATGAATAAAAGAGGCCACATTTCAGAGATGTGACACTGAAAGGATTTGCTTGACAACCAAGGCAGCCTGGAAGCCAGAACCCAGTAAAACATCGGGGATGACACTGAGGTTACTGCCCTGAGCAGCAGGCAGGTCTGGGTTTGCTGTGCATGGGAAGGGACAAGAGAGACCCACAAGACCCGCTGGCAGACGGTTATAGGAGGATCAGATAAGCAGAGTCCAGGACACCAAGGCTTCAACCAGAGCAGGGCCAGGTCTCAAGGGAGATCAAATGAAAGGACTTTAACAGCCGTAAGGCCAAGTAGAAGGGGATAAAGGGGAAGAGAAACACCAGACTGAAAGCAGTGGTCTCAGTCCAGGGCCAATGGCATGAACAGCCATGACCAGAGCCCTGTGCTGGTTACCAGCCCTCAAAGAGCCATTTCTCTCTCTATAACTTTGGCGTGTCCCACACAAGGACTGGAACTAGAAACCAACAGAGGGAGCCAGGCCACCACTGATTCCAGCCCAAGATCGAGCACTCTGTCCAGCCAACATTTTCTCTGACTGTTTCCATCCCCTTGTCTTCCGGGCTTTCCTCTAATAAAGTAAGCATTAATAAATGTAGCTGCCACTGGCTAATTGGGAGAGATGATCAAGCCTAGCCAAAGGAAAGGGTACTCGTGGCACTGCACTGCTTGCTAATCCCTAGATCTGTTGGCCAATTTCAGCTGTATTTAACATCAGGTGGAAACCTGAGTGATAGAAAGCTCCTAAGATGTCATGGAAACAGGCAGCTGGGCAGAGAAGAGGGACTTAGAACTGCCAGGAAAGACAAGACTGCAAAGCCAGCTCAGTTCTGCTTTTGGAGATGAGAAAACTGACATACAAGTGACCACGAAAACTTGAGCAAGAACTTGTATCTCCCCAGATACCAAACAATTCACACCCACAGCATGAAGACATAGAAACTAAACTTAAGCTGTGGTAGCTGCAAGATTGTATTTTCCCCTTTGAAAGATACAAGCAGAAGTGATGGATATGAATGTAAGAGTATCAGCCTCCAAAACCCTGCTGCTTGTAAACAATCTAAGCTGTGGCAGCCATAAAGAGGAACTCTTCTCTCTAGCCTAGAGATGTCCTTCCAGCAGACTGAGAGGATACAGCAACTTAATAATACCACTCCCCCCCCTCAGCCTTGGCCTGTGCATTGACATATCACTTCTGTCAAACTAAAAGCATGCTAAAATAAACCAGGGAATACACAGCTTTCACTTCATTCTGTTCCTCACTTCCCTATGCCTAACTATTTCCTGCTGCTCTCAGTGATCTGAAAGCAAGTAGGAGGGACTGTCAGCACAAAGTCTCTTGGGGAAGAAGGGAAGCGATTAGATTTGCAGGATGGCATGTACTACCAAGTCATTTCTTGCTCAGCTCCAGTAATGACACCCATCTTCCTTTACTGTCAGTAACCAAAAGAAAAGTGAAATAGAAGCAGCAGCAAACTTGTGAATTCCTACCTGGTTTCACCATTGTGTAGAAATCATATATAACATAGAAAGGTCCACTATATTATTTAGCAGCTTTCCTATTAAAAACTAAAAACCCCAATTCTCTTTTGAATCTTAGATATCTTCTCACCTAGGAAAATCTCTAAGGAGAACAAAGAATTTTACCAACAATTTGCAGAGTAAGCCATTCCACTTTCCGTAAGATTTTGCAACAGCACTGAACTAATCCGCAGAAGAACCACCAACTTAGGTAAAAGGCCTGCTAAAAATACATTCAGGAAACAGAACAGAATAAGGCCTTCAAGGTAAATGCTAAAAAGCTATCTCAGTAAATTAAAGGGCAGTCTACTGAAGGGCTCCCACTTGATTTTAATTCCAATATGGATCCTTACCTTTGAGCATTTCTCCAACACTTCTTCCTTAAACTGCAGGAACTTCTCCTGGATGGTGGGCTGGTTGAGAGCCAAAGACAGGAAGTGTGTGAAGGGCTGCTTCTTACGGAAGCTGTCCAGGAGAACATCAATCCGCGTTCGGGCAGAGATGACACCGCTGCGATGCTGCCCAGTAATCACTACAAGGAAACAAAGCACTACCTGTCTCGTTTCTGCGAAGCTACAGTGAAACTCCTGACACCAATGCTCATGCAAAATAGAGAGTAATTAAATGGATTGTGATTTTACATGATACTTATCTATGCACTTTAAAATATCAATATTGGAGGATATTGTGAAGGTAGGAACATTTCACCCAGAAGATGCCAGGAGGGAATTAGAAAAATCTGCACAGCAGCTGTTAGCCCCAGGCTCACTGAAGAAGCGTTATGAATTAAACCCCCAAACTATGCACAGAGAAATCTTGCCAGAGTGCCTGCTTGACTTAAAATGCCTGACATGGCTGTGCTTTCCTCTGTACAGACAGGATGATGCCATCAAAAGTATCCCTCTGCTCTCAAGAAAGTCAGCTCTGAGTGCCTAAAAAACCAACAACTAAGAGTCTATCATTTCATCATCTCTTCAGATTTCTAGAGCATTATTTCAAGTTTTCACAAAGGCAGTCAAAGTGAAAAAGAAAAGAAAATCTATTCAGCTTCAAGACGGCCTATATCATCTGCGCATGCACTTCAAGGAACCAAAGAGAGAACACTTGAGCTTGAAAGGAAAAAACTGCAAAGAGTAAAATTTTCTTGGCTTCTTATTATTACATGTTTTCAACATCTCTCAACCTTCCTAATAGTCCTTCACAGTTCTCAGGAAGAATTCAAGATACACTTGTTGAAAAGTACTGCCATGTTCCTGTGCAGCACCACAGCTGGATCCCGCCGGTCACTTTTTCCTCACAGCTCTGTCATGAATGTAACTGTACAGTGTGTCATTTATCACTGGGGCATGTGTAGTGGCCCCTCCAGAGAGCCACTCAGGCAGAAACCCGCATGGGCCAGCCATGAAGAGCAATGCTTTCTCTCTTTTTAAGTCACTGGAAGCGATGAGAAGGAACATACAGTACCAGAAAGCCTGCTCTCACTATCAGGATCAAGTGACTACACCAGAAAGGCAGCAACGTCATTGAATGCTTGTATTAAAGCAGATGCTGAAGTTTATTTTGTGCATAAGTACACAACATGGTAACTTTTTCTGGATGTGTATTACAGTTTATTATTAATGGAAATGGTATCATTTTAAAAACAGAACAAAAAGTCCAACACATTCAGGCCCAAAGTTCTCAAGCCAGTCATTTGAGGCCCAGACTATTTATGAATAGTCTCACTCACGTAAATAGCTTGAAAATAGATCTTTTTTCCCCCAAAAAAAACCCTTACACTGCTTTATAAGGATTTATAGACAGAAAAAACTAAACTCAGGAGAAAAGTGAAGTGATATTCCCAGGGCCATAAAGTGACACAGTGCCATGTCACAAGCAGGAATCAAAGGAAAAACACCTCCCGTACCTCCTCCCTGCTAAAACCCACCTCCTGTACCTCCTCCCTGCTAAAACTGTGTATGTGCAACAGCTGATGAGAGAACCCTCATTCTGTGCATGTTAAACTCACCAATTTCTCCTTCCGCTCCAAGCTTGGGAATGCTGATGGAGGTTCGAGTCTCTGTTTCTAGTCTTTTCTTGGTTTCCCCTTTCTTCCCGATGATGTACCTGAGGCACAGAAGTGCAAGAGAGTCACTTATACAGTGTTGCTGGGCCACGCTCCGTCAACTGTGGCCAGTCAGCAGATTAACAATGCCATAGGTGAACCAGGCTCCGAGCTGGCTCCAGGCAACTGGGTTCCCCCACACTGGGAATCTCCATGCTAGACAGATGAACGCACACAGCTTCATGAGCAGGACTTGGTCCAGGTACAGAGGTTGCTCCCAAGATGCTGCATGTGACCAGCCTAGGACATAGGGACAATGCTGAGCTGTGGCTCACAACCAGCTTAAGCTAAAATAAGTCAGTTGTCCATGACAGCTCTGCCCAGCACATCCTGCCAAGCTAATTTGTCTGCTGGGTTATCCCTTTTTCCCATTACCCCAGCTGATGAAGAACTAAGGGCTCTTTTTCTCCTTTTTGCTTTGCTCAAGCATCCAAACACACATCAGAACATTTTTTCTTCCCTATATTGCAGTAAAACTATTCAACCAATGAAACTGTCAAAGTAACTAGATAAAGCTTTGAAGACTACAGGCATCCCAGTAAACATCAGATTGGAGTCAACAGTCAGTTCCAGTTGTGTGTGCTTTCTCTCAAAGCTCCCACAAATTCCCCCTGCCAGGCTCCTGGCCCCAGTTCTTCCTCCCCTTCTCCCACCCTCCCTAATGCTTTTATGTTCAAGGGAAGAGAAGCTCGAAAACTCTCCTGCCAGCAAGAAAGCACCACCTGCTGTCTCTGTCACAGGGAAGGCTAGGAGTCAAGGATGGCACAACTGTACTAGAAAGGCATTGCCAACTTTCCCTTCCCAAATGCTAAAATCCACATCCACATAACGTAACACATTTCAGAGATCCGGTGGTTACCCCAACCTCAAAAAAAAATAATTCTGCACTCAACCACTTCCTCTGCTGGCGGCAACTCAAATAAACCAGAAACACACAGGCTCACTTGTATAACAGGCTGGGAACCTCCACTCTGCACTGGAAGCCTTTCTCAGTCTCTTCCACTACAAAGGCATCACAGGGCTCATCTGCACAGTCACCAGGACCTAACAGAAAAAAAAAAATAGACCTTGTACAAACTCTGTAAAGTTTGGCAGCACTTTATGTAGGACAGTAGTCTCACAGCCGCCTTCTCCCAAGGTTAAATAAAGGAAGAAACGGACTCCTCCCTGTTGCAGCTAACTGCTTTTTATTTCACCTTACTACCAGCTCCGGAAAACATAATGAATGCTTCTAAATCCACCACGCTGGGAGGTGTAGGAAAGTGGTAGTTATAGCCCAGGTTTTCTCTCAGCTGGAAGTTGTGCAGCTACCCAGTGGAAATGTTTTTTTCTGGCAGGGTGGAAGCCACAGCCCATTCAGAGACCTAAGCAGGAATTTAAAGCCACAGAAGAATACAAATAAAGGTGAGGACAGTTTTGGTTCAAGGGTTCCGGTACAGTGTTTTGGAAATCAGAAATTGTCACACCCTCGGCATAGAGGACCCACAGAGCCAATCTGTTTTCCTCTTTTACTAGAAATCTTTCATGGCCGGCAAGCAACCTGACAGTCAGCAGCACAGTCACCCAACCCACCTTAGGTAACTGGGATTACATCCACTCTTTGGTCAACAGGATCATCAGGAACCAACACAAAGCATTTTTCTCCCTCTCAAACACTTTGCTTCACCACATGGGCAGGTCCTTGTGCACATAAAGACATCACAGACGACACCAGGAGCTCCCTAAATCCCCTGTGTCAATGCTTTCACCTGTAACATGTCCTGACAGCACCTCAGTCACCCCTCAAGCCTCACTCTTTACCTGCACAGAAATCATCCTCCTCTTCGTGCTGGTAGGCCTGCTCTTGAATGACATTCTTCCTGTACACTCGCCCCCCAATCCTTATCAGCGTGGGCCGCAGAACGTCCATCCTGCTCCTCCTTCTAATGCAGAAACAAAGACAGCTTTGCTAACATATGCCAACAAAAGGTAAATGTCACTGTTTCCTCAAGAATAATTTATAAGCAGCATCAGGGGAACTGTGAGGGGCTCAGCAGTAAAGAGAGAGGTCTGTACCTCCAGAAGAGCAGTACCTCCTTCTATGCATATGTATGAGAGGCTTCAGAAATGCAATACCTTCTCAAACCTTGCCTCACTCGTTCAAAGACTAATTTTATAAGAATTTACAAGAATACTCTTTGTCAGCTCATGAAGCACAATCAAGTAAAAATGGGATATTTAAGTAATGTGAGACACATAATGAAGCATCAAGTTTTCTGACCCTGTCAGGAGGTCAGCACCAAATCACCACTCTACCTGAATCTCACAGGTTTTAGCTAAAACTCCCTGGAGCCTCAGTCAGTGTGCCTTTTCAGCACCACTCAGGATTGTGAAGTTTCACCTCGTTATTTTCCATAGCCTCTTGCAAGGATTCCCCTACATCACTGACCTCTCTCGAAACACCTGACATCCTCCATTTGTTTCTCTCTCAAAAGCCCAAGGAGCTTTTCAGTAGCAAACCCAGTTCCCTGGGCTTGTTTGGGAGGCAGCTGGGGAAGGGACACAAAGCATTGTGAGGGGCTTACAGCACTGCTGTAAGTGGTTACACCTCCTGCCTCCACCACAGAGCACTGCAGTAAGATTGAGGCATAGGCATAAAAGACTTGCCCTGTCCTGCATTATTCCAAACAGCATTAGAAACATGGGGCACAGAGTTATACTTTTTGTGGTGGAGAATATTGAATGGTGCAAAAGCAAAGAACTGATGGTCATCTGCAGACATCACACCTTCGGTACTTTAACGTCTACGTTCACTGAAGCTGTTAACGTTGCATATCTCAGTTTGCCTTGCTTTTAACACAGAAATTTTTGTTACTCAAAAAACAGCCTCCACCAAAAAATTTGCCTTCATCACCTGATACTACATTTAACTAAAAAGGCATTCGTGTAGCTCAGTGGAAGAAAGACAGATGTAACAGCCTCAGGCTGCACGAGGGGAAGTTTGGATTAGGGAAGATTTTACAGAGAGGGTGCTCAGGCATTGGAACAGGCTGCCCAGGGCAGTGCTGGAGTCACCGTCCCTGCAAGTGTTCAAAACTCATGTAGATGAGGCCCTCAGTGACATGGTTTAGTGGTGATCTTGGCAGTCCTGGGGTAACGGTTGGATTTAATGATCTTCAAGGTCTTTTCCAACCTAGCTGATTCTGTGATTCTGTGTGAACTGTGCAGAGAGGAAGACAGAACAAGCCATGGGGAAAAAGAAAATAAGATACGGTTGTTGGGGTTTTGGTTCCACTCAGGTGCTGGACTTTTTGTTGCTGTTTTTAACGGCAGCGCCGGTGTCACAACTCCTTGATGCCAGACTTCAGAAGCGACCACACCGCACTGCCCCGGCAATGCCTGGCGGCCCCGCTTGCGCGCAGGGAGAGT